TGTTCCTGCTCTGTACCAGCTCAGCTGTGAGGTGGCTTTTCACAAGACTTACCAGCCCTTGCCCTCTGCGCAAGCGCAGCGGTAAACTGAAAAGCCCGTGACGTGCAATGGGTGCTTTTTCAGTAGGGATTCCTGAGATAGAGGTAAGTCCACTTCCCGGTTTTGGGGTACTTTGGTGAGCTCGGGGATTTTCCCTCTGACCCCGTTGCAGTTACACTGCATAACTACTACGGTTTTAGGGAGGTGACCAGCGACACCTTGCCCAGTGCTCCCAGTAGCACCAGCGCCCACAGTCGGCCTGAGCCCCGTCACCAATCTGCAGGGGAGGAGGGGATTCGAGTCCCCCTCGCTTAGAGTTCTGTTTGATTTACCAGCCATGTGTAATGAATAGTGACTAGGTATTTTTTTCTTACCTTCTCCCAGAGGGAGATTACAAAGAAATCCCCCCCCCTCACTTCACCTTGGGAGACAGACGTAGTGACGTGAGTTTTTTTAGCTTCAGGTTGAAATCTATCCTTCTTGTCGGTCACTCAACGTAGAGACAAATCTCTTTTGGTTCTTTTACCACTATAAGAAGTGTCGTTGAATGCGTCGGAGAGTTAGAATATTGACTCATGAAAGTGAGTCAAGAGTTACTGTTGTTTTTTTTTTCTAAATACTTATTTTGCGTTTCGATCGTGAATTTCCAAAAATGAATACATTAGACACTGTTTAGTACCGTCGATCTTAAAATCGCGACACAACCTTACACTTCCTTTAACAATCAAATGCAGTATTTTAATACACAAAGGATAAAAAATTAAAATGAAAATGCAATCAATGATATTTATAGTAAACATTTTGAGAATTATACTGAAGTCGCAATAAATTATGAATCAAAATAAAAACAAACGTAAAAAATTGCGCACATCAATCAGAAAGATTACATCAAAAAATCGGCAGGACCACAAGAACCCAGAACCTTCACTGTGGAGCCAAATTCCCGCCACAGTTGTGTTTATCATATACACGTACTTGGGTGATAAGGACAGGGCTTCAATGGCCAGGGTAACGGATTTTACATTATAATATGGCTAAATATCAAAATATTATCAAATGTTAAAAAAAAAGAAATCATAGGCAACATTTGCTGGTAACATGGATAGATGTATGGTTGATGGATAGATGAGTGGATAAAATGCATGGGTGGGTGTTTGGATTTACCCAACCTGCAGTAGGTGACTCTTTCATTTACACGGTTGTGAGTAGATAAATAGTTTAGAGTCAATGTAAGATTACAGCGTCGAATTTGGACATGTAGCCTGAGGATTTCAACTGGGTACTACACTGGAAAGGGTTCACAGTGAACTGTTTGTGTGGATATTAAAGGAACTCGATGTTAAGATAGGGCATGCAATTTGCGTGCAAGAAGAACGCTCTTGACTGACGTTATTTTAAATGGGCAGCGGCAACCGAAAATGGAAGGAAATTTATCAGGCAATGTGTTACAAAAGAACACATTGTTAATGACAAGAAACAAGCCGATACTCCAGAGCTGGCCAGCCACATTCAAGCAAATTAGTCATCTTTCTCGGTATCAAAAATTGGTTTGAGGATATACTTAGGATAATGTGGAATTATCAAACTTCACTCTTACATCGCACTCGCCAGAAAGTCGGATTCGTAGTCGATATTGAAAAAAAAATGCAGTAACATCTTACGGGAGTGATAAATGCCTTACAAAGTTCTATTTTAACAGACAAGACTATGACCAAGAACAAAACTGTTGACAAGAAACTATGGCCCACAGGAAAAAATTGTTGTAACAAGTTAAATTCGGACCCCAAATCTAAACTTTTAAAAAAAGGTTGTGATATGCGAGCCCAACTTTAAAAAACATTTCTTTCACAACCAACCTGATGAAGCTTTTTGCCTGTGTGTTAGCCATGATATTAGAGAGAGTAAGTTCGGACTTCACCAAAATATGAATAACAGTAGTCTGAATAAATGATTGATGTGTGGATAAACTTAATAAATGATGTGTGAATAAACTTATTGATTGGTGTAAAAATCAATGGATGATTGAGAGGTTTTGTGGGGGAAAAAATTTTTTTGGGATCATTTTAAGAATGAGTGACTGCGTGAATTAAATTATAAATAACAATTTCAACATAGGGCTCAACCACTTTTCATTGACGTGTTTATGCTCTTGGGTCAAATAGTGACTTTATGGTGCTTCACATGTCATCAATCAATAATAAATACATATTTATTTATCAAAGAGGTGAACGAATCATTATTTCAATGCGTAATAATAATAATAGGAGCCAAAATGATCAATAAATTGATCGTGGGCCCTTAAGACATAGAAGAAGAATACCATCAAATTAATTTTTTAAATATATAAAAAAGTACGTTCAACTCTTTTATGAACCGTCTCTGGGCAACGCCCAGTTTATTTCTAGTCTTTCTAATATTATATACGAGCTGACGAAATAACGATTTACTTATTCCTGCCATAAAAAGTCCCACCTACTATGACCAAACCCCAAAATCCCATGCTTATCTTCCTTACTAAGGTGTGTAAGACCTGGCACCAAGTCTTCCATGTTCCGGCGCTGTGGAGGTCGAGATTTATTAAGTTCGGCGGTAGCATGACTAAAAAAGGTATGGAAGATCTGGTTTGAAGGAATCACTCATGTCTTACTGAACAGTAACGGGGGCTGCACTTTTACAATAATATAATGCTTTAACTAACATTCAGGTACAACTATCAATACGGGTACAACTGATTTAGTGATACAACTATACAACTATACACAACGGTTAAAAAAAAGAAAAATTAAAAAAAAAACGCTAACTGCTCCAGTTACCATACAGGTGAATCAAGATTAAGGTTTGCAACTAACAAAATTATACAAATTGCAAACCTTAAAATTGTATTTTTATTGCAACCAAAATATTGGTACAAAATAACATATATTCTGCTACACCAAATAACATACTTGTAGACTGTAAGCAGCGACGTGGCCCCAAGTTGTTATATATTATACTCATCCATGGTAATCACTTCTGGTCACACAAAAAAATGTCTTTTCCATCATTGTCCATTCCTTATCTTGCACAATTGGTACTTACTCCATAATTGTTAATTTAACATTGCTAATTTATTTTTCTCATAGGAAAGTACGCGATCGATTTCGCTAAACAGTTCCCGACCTCTCTTCAAGACATTGAGATTGACTTCGATCATATCCTTGGGCGAGCTGCCAAAGTGATCGCAAAGGACTTCAAGGAGTTCTCTGCGTGTCTGGATGGCGCCAAACTTAAAAACATTTATATTGCCTTCCTCGATATAGACAGGGTCAGTCGAAAGATGCAAAAAGATTTCATCGACTCTGTAAAGCGGTTACTCCAAAACCAGCGCACCCTTCAGGTAAAAGACATACAATCTGCTACTTATCTTGGAGATAGCACCGGGATACGTGGACACCTGGGATAGGCATTGGGAATTTGAGAGAGTGTTTCAGTTTAGTAAATGGTGGTTGCAACGTAGTCGTTGATGTTTTCTTACTGGGAATCTAGGCACCAAGGACCCTGGTTGAATATTTAATTTTTAAAAAAACCCACAAAAAAATAAATATTAAAAAATCAAGATATGTTTAAAAAAATAAGTTTCTTTTCTTCTTTTTTTTTTGCTTTTTTTTTTTTTTTTAACTTTGAGTCAGCAGTTCTCAACCTGTGGTTCGCGACCGCTTTCACGGGAGTCTTCTAAGTCCATCGGAAAATACAAACACTCATACACGGTTATGAGTTGCACCCAAAAGGGAGTCTTCTAAGTCCATCGGAAAATAAAAACACTCATACACTGTTATGAGTAGCACCCAAAATAATGTTTTGGTGGGGGGGGGGGTCACCACACAATGAGGAATCGTATTAAAGATTAGCGGCCTTAGTAAGGCTGAGAAATGAGGCGCTAAGTATTTCTGGTGAAGTCTGCGAGGCTATGTGTCAATGATGAGGCGCTAAGTATTTCTGGTGAAGTCTGCGAGGCTATGTGTCAATGATGAGGCGCTAAGTATTTCTGGTGAAGTCTGCGAGGCAATGTGTCAATGATGAGGCTCTAAGTATTTCTGGTGAAGTCTGCGATGCTGTGTGTCAATGATGAGGCGATTGTTTTATGTTTTTCTTTGAATTCAGTTTGATGACAATGTCAACGGGTTTCAATGATTCGGTACTTGCAGTGAATTTCTTCCCCTCCTTGTTTTGCATAATTATGATAGGTCTCATTTTATTCTATTAAGAAATTTCGAATGGGAAATTCATACTTTGACCTTGAAACTGGTCTCCAAATTCTTCAATGTTTACCTGATGCCACTGCAGCTACACTTGACGACCTATCTCTATATGGATTTTTTCAAGACGAGCTGCCTATTTACCAAGAGGAACGGATATTAACAGAAATGCAGGTTATTATCACATCACTTTAATATCACTATTCACTTCATGTTGCTGTTTGTATAACATTTCATTTAAAGATAAAGTAGAGACACAGAATTAATATAATGATAGCTTATTTTACCATTTTATCTTATTTAGTTATCTAATTATGTTATCGTGTAATCATATTATTTTTGGTCTTGTCTATCTTATTTATTGACAGCTGTCCCGCTCTTTGTCTATTAATTTTTTTTTTTTTTTCAAGAATAGAATCCAGTTTCACTACATTATAAAAATCGAGCCATTTTAATTCGGGGGTCATGCCAATACTTCTTAAAATTGAGTGTGTTTACCGGGTCAACCTCCACCCCCACCTCTTTTTTTCTACCTCCTGCCTTTTCCAGCACAGACCGTTGCCGATTTCTTTACACAAAAAAAAATGTTTTGTAGTCTTAATTTTTAACCCCAGGACAGGATAATAATTTTGTTTTTATTATAAAACTTTCAGAAATTTACAGGCCTCTCTCGTATTCGCTTCGACTACTACTTTATATCTGAAGAATTGGCCAAATCCTGGGTGACCGGATGTCCGAATCTCTCGTTCATTGGGCTCGTTGCGGACAAACAAGTGGATCCCGGTATGGTTGATTGTTTGTGGGTTATGTATAATTTTTAAAGTTGAATGGGCTATTTCAAGTGTTTTAATCTTGAAAAGTAAATGGACAAAACACAGCGTGCTTCGTTTGTCATAATGTTAGTTTCATTTGGACCGGGTCGGAGTTCTATCTCAACATTTAGAGTCTGATGCTTTTAAGTGAGTAGATACTTTCTATATGCCATTTTAAAAAAATAGATATTTATATTATCATAAATGATTTAAAAATGTTCCTGTTGGGTATGCATAGAAATGCGCTGTCTTGTGTTAATTGAACCGTAATAGTACACCTTCAATGTGCACAAAAAATGAAGTTTATATTAGTTTAATTTACTCATTACTTATACGGTCCTGTTATACCCTCCACTCAATCAGCCCAGGTCATAAGCTGTGAGACGTGGAAGTTATTGGTCCGAACGCACCCAAATTTGTTGGTGGAATATAAAGCCTCACAGAGCCAAGACATTAAACAATTGCTTGAAATTCTATCCCCGGCTATTCCCCTGTTTGAATTATCCTGGTACAGATCTGGAGATGTCACAACGGAATTCGAGGTAGGATAAAGCCTTATTTTGATCGTTGTTCGGCTTTTGTCTTTACTTCGTAAAAGTAAAATGTTCAATTATATTGTGAGCCTGCATCGGGCGCAAGGCAAATCTTTTTTTTTTTCTTTATAATTTCAATTTTATTACACCTTAATTTTCATAAGTGATAACCCTTTTTTAAGAGTGTTTTGTGTTTTATGGGAATATTTTCTTATCAATTTTTTTTTACCCCGGTTTTGGCTCGACATTTCACGGCTTAGAGCAGATACTAGAACTCATCACTTAACTAGAAGATACTCACTTAACTAATCACTGTTAACTAGAACTCATCACTTAACTAGCAACTACTCACTTAACTAATCACTGTTAACTAGAACTCATCACTTAACTAGCAGCTACTCACTTAACGACACAAAATTATTGGAAAGGACAACTATTTTTCATGTGAGAATATCCGAAATGGCATTCCGTAAATATCGATTACGAGACAACTTGTTGTTTTAAAAAAAACTTTTGAATGTGAAAATTATTTTCGGACGGCTAATTGAACCTCTTCTCATAATCTATTTGAGCTGAAACGTCACACACAGACTCGTTGTCAATGACAACACATTCTGCCAAGTTTTCAGCCCCAACTCCCCAAAATTAGCTTTTCCTGTTTTGCAAGTAAAATAAGATTAAAATATGATGCCCCTTATTTCACAAAGTAAAAGTCCCGATAAAAAGATACTTTAAAAAAAATGTATCGCGAATAGGAATATTATTTACGGATCGCCATTGAAAGATAATGTGTACTATCTGATTTACTGCGTCCACGCCGTCTGAGGGAAATAGCTGATCAAGAAAGCTTTGGATTAAGGCGGTGTTACTTTATTTTGAGGATTGTAATGATACAGCTTTCTAATGTTAACTGCTCCAAAATACTTTTTTTTTTAACCGCACAACTTTTTTGCACTTTAAGAACTTGAACGTTTTAACATTGTAATATGTTAACTTGAATACTTCACGTAAGGATTATTAAAGGGCCCCCTCAGAGGCGTAGCGAGGGCGTTTGGCGCCCGGGGACAAGATTCGCGCCCGGGGACAAGATCCATTTTAAAGCGCCCCTTATTCTTTTTTTCAACTGTCAAACCCATTATTTTCATCAATAATATAATAGCAAAGCACATTTTGGCGCCTCTAACTAGCTGGCGTCCAGGGACATATGTCTCCCCCTGCACCCCCCTCGCTACTCCTCTGGGCCTTCATCACTGGAATAATTTTATACCACCTCAAAGACCAGGCACTTAAGTTAAACTTGACGAAATATAATTCTGTCAAAGCCTTCGTATATCAGTTTGAATATATATGTGTATATATTTATCAGTTATATTTATAAAAAAAAACTCACTTATACCAAAGTAAAGATCCATATTAATATTCTTCAGCTGACAAGATTACTTCATCGTGTTGCCAACTACCATAGAACAATAAAACACCTTTACCTGAGCCTTTCAGGGCATTATACAAATTTGGATACCACAGCGGTGCAGAACATTCTGTCCAGATGCACAAACTTGTAAGTAACTTTTGTTTGTGTTAAGGATTAATCAGAGATTATTGATTACAACCGTCATGAATGCGCCTCCCATTCTAAGTACACAGACATTCTCTCATCACTTGAGCATCCTATTTCATCCCTTATCCTATTTCTTCCCTTATCACGCGAGTACCCTTTTTCTTTGATTATCATGCGAGTATCATATGTCTTGAAGATACAAGGACGGTGTGAACTTTTAATTATTATCCCAGAAAACGGGACGAACATCAGACTGATCCCGGTATCACTGGTCAATCCCCGGGATATATTTACTTCAATTAAAACTCTAGAATAAACCGAATTAATCAATAAAATATTTGATTTTCATAATTGATTATTGGTTTTTCTTTTTTTTTTTTTTTTTTTTTTTTTTTTTGAATTGATAATTTAAAAAATGTTGTTAAGTGTAGCTGAGAGATTTTATTTGGATTCTTTGCAATTTGCTGCTTGATTCGATTGTTCTAGCTCAGTTAAAAATTATTAGCTAATAAATGTTTGTAACATCATAGTCGGGTTTGAGCTCATGACCGTCTTTAGACAAGCTTGAAGCTTTCTATGAGTTATGCATTTCTTTACATGTCACAAATTCGATTTTCAAATCGGGCACGAAATCGTTACAAGCGAATGTCTACATTAAAAACTTGTAAGAATGTGTTTGTTTTTAATATATATATATATATATATATATATATATATATATATATATATATATATATATATATATATTTGTAAAATACAAAGTAAAAACTACATATTTTAAAAATTCATTAACACGTTGGTGATTGTGATGCCTAGTGAGATCTAAAGTCAACTACTTAGTTTATGAACAGGTTTGTTATGGTCAAACTCAGGATTTTAATGTCTAAAAAAAAAAAGTGGCTGTGTTTATTTCTGATGACTTAGTTCGTGCTTGCGTCGGCATTGGTGTAACATGTTGTGAGACTTTTTCCACATCCTTCTGTTTTCTGTTTGTCCATGTCATGCTTCTGAACCACTTAACTAAAAGCGGTTCACATTCCTTGAATCTGAGGGCAAAATGGTAGAAAGCAAAAGATAAAAATAATAAATCATTCAATTTTATAAGAAAAATAAAAACTTGACAGCAAAAGAATGTTTTGAGAGTTGCCCCCCTTCAGCCACCGTAAAACGTTGGATTCGCATTTTAATATTACTTTCCTCAAATGAAATTTTTTTTTATAAATAGCCACAGAAACAATATAAGATCATTGACCCTTTAAACAGCTCGCGAGTTAAAATTACTGGATGATTTATGTAAACATTTGTGGCAACCCGTCTCTCATGCCGACCTGGGCACATGCTTTTAATAATGTTTAATCTGGGCCTTAATGCCTATCCACGTTTGGTTCCTTTTAACTGGAATGCTTTCTGATTATGTATCAAAACGGTCTGCAAATAACATATTAATTAACCATGATTGACATTATTGTATGAATTATGTGTTATAGAGTTTAACTGCTGACAAACATTTTGATGAAACTTTCTTTTAGTGTTTTACAGGTTAAATTAACTATGAATGACATTTTGACCAAATACTTTGTAAATGAATTCCTTTGTTATCTTTCAGGCTGCCAATCCAGTGTTCGAATTTCACGAACCGTTTCAGGGGAGAAAACGAATGGACTCTGTCCCGAAACATGAAGTGGTGGCTCGCACGAAACAACATCGAAAAATTATAAGTTGCCCCCCCCCCCCACATATTAAGATTTCTTATGCCAGCGTTTATATTTATCAATTCATAAAAGCAGCCTTGCCTACAAATCTACAATATCACAATATTTACTTTTTAGGCTTTTCTTTGTGTGCAAATTATATGGCTTTACATGCTAACTACATAAAGCGTTTGCCTATAAAACGTATTTTTTCACGAACATCTAATAATAGTGTGAACATTACAACATTTAAGCAAATTTAAAATTCAATCCTACACGTTTTCAATATAACTTTATTTTATATAAATGCTTTATTTACAAAAAACCTGAGCGTTAAGCTTTACGCACATTTACAATTTCATGTATCTAATTTAAACGAAATTATCCATAAATATGTACATGTTATGCATCTAATATTTAGTTATTATAATTTTTAAAATAAAAATTACATTCAATTTGTGCTCTTGAACAATTTTTTTTAGTTTTGTAGTTTCCTTTCCAGTTTTCTCCAGATTTTTCTACAACATTCTACTAGAACAGACTATTAAATTCATTTTGATCAAGAGACTATTTTTAGCTATTCACACCTTAAATGCGCTTTTGAGCTTGTTTGTTGTCTGCTAGAGTTCACAGCACGAGGAAATATGGCGAAAACCCAGATGCGAATGACGGCGCTGCGTGTCCGGGTCCATTTTGACTCACTGCTATTCGGATGTCATTTGTGGCAGTTTATTTTAGTTAAACTGAAGAATTAAGTTTACAAACATATAGTCCATTCAAGTATCTTTTATTTGTATACCTCATTTTGTCTTACAAATCCACAAATAAAATTTTAAATAGTTTTTTAATCCCAACGATTCACTTCTGGTACCCGGGGACGAAAACCCATTTAGCTTTTCTTAAGGAAACGCTATATGCCCCATGCTAATGACCCTGCGACCAATCGGGTATTCTCATCACGTGCCGTTGTTGTCTTCTGACGGGATAAGAAACTAGGTGATCTTCTGGTTCACAGCCGCCTTGGAGCAAACCCTTCTCGGGTACGGACTGAGCCTTGTTCGTGTAAGACTTTTACTGTGAGCTGAACACATTGACTCCTCTAGGGGGGTACCTTTAAAATCAAAGAGGGCTTCACGTGTATCAGTAAAAAATGTGATATTATATGTGAATTTTACCGGCTATGATATCCCAATTTTATAGGCAAGACGAGAAGCATGCTATCCGATAAATTCATTGAATATAATCGGGGTATTGAAAAAACAAAAAACAAGCTATCCATGGTCTCATCTAACTTCAATAGACCTGAGAACAATAGCACATCCAATGTAACGATAACGGCCCTTATTTATTGAACTAATACACCAGCGAGGGTGAAGAATAAAAAAAACAAATTATTTATCACTTTGGAAACCATTTAACCGTAGGAAATCGAAACAATCACTCTCTTACCAGTGCTACTCAATTTCCCTTTTTTTTTTACGTTTTCATATTTTGTAGCTTAAATATTTGAAATCACATTTAAAACATTATTCAAAATTTTGCCATCGCAATACGCGACACATAAATATGTGAGAGGCACGATTTAGTTTAGAAAACAAATTACGTTTTGAAGGTGCCTTCTTTCTACACAGAGACTAAGAAAGTTGGACAGTTGTCTTGGGACGGTTACGTCAGATAACTTAGACTAATTTTGGATCTGGGATCACTAAAGTTTTTCAATATCAAATAATTTGTTTTGGTTTTTCTTGTTTTTTTCCTGCTATATAATAATTTTGTTTGTGTTTTATTACACATATTAAAAGCCTAGTACAATGCGTACCATTTAGAATATCTCTTGTGAGATGAGAGAAAGAGTAAGCAAGGTGACAGCCCAATAAAGAACACGAGTTTAATCATCAAATGTTATCACCGGAGTTGTTTCCTTATTGAGTACCAGATCTAGATGAAGTGTATCAGAGAGTAAGCAAGGTTTCCTTACAATATAATTAAGTAGCCACTATAACATCCACGCGATGAGCTGCTCACCGGTCCCCCCGTGGGACAGGCATGACCGGCTCAGTGGGTGTGAACACGCCCCGGGGGGGGGGGGTAAACTATCGTGCCACAGGAGAGTGCTTCTTCGCCCCATAGTTGGCATCCAGCCCTAAAATTGGTACCCTTACCAAATATAAAATGTTACATAAATGCTGTTGCAAAAAGTGTCACACTGCCACATAAGCCTTTGGAGGGCAGTGTGGCATGCAAGCCAAACATTACAAACTTAACTTTGCACAGGCAGGTGGATGGAGAGCTTCGCCAGTGTTTTAGCCGGGATGCTAGAGAGCGTGAGTTCGGACGTCATCAAAATATGAATACTAGTAAATCGACTAAATGATGGATGAGCGAAAAAAATTAGTCGGTTGATGTGGGAATAAACTTAATTATTGTGGTGAGGATCAATTAGTGAATAAGAGGATGGATGGGCTAATAAATGATAAGTTTGATGTGTGAATAAACTTAAAGATTGATGTAAGGCTGAGTGAATGAATCGAAGGTAGGATGTTTGAAAAATTTAATGATTGGTGCATGGATCAATGGATGGAGGTTGGTGAATCAAGTACATGGTTGGGTGTTAAATGGTGAGGGAATAATGAGATGTTGGATGTGTAAAAAAAATTAATGATTGTTTTAATGATGATATAAATTAATGAATAGATTAAGGTAAAATCAATAAATACAATTTCAAGGTATGGCTCAGCCCCTTTTGATCGCAGTGTTTCTGCTCTTCAAACGATTAGTGAATTTCTGGGGCTTCCACAATCACCAAACAATAAATAAATCTGTATTAGTCAATAAAATGGAGGAACCATTTTTTGATGCTAAATACCATCCAAGTAATTATAAATGAAATCTACGCTAAACCCCTTTTTCTACTCGATTATAAACCGACTCTGAGCAATGCCCATTTTTATACTCTTTCTAATATTATATATGTGCAGACCCCGAAATTAATCCAAAAAAAAAAAAAAAAGCAAAAAAGAAGAGAAAAGATTGATTAGGTTCTGCCACTGAAAGTCACACTTATATGACCACGCCCTTGAAGCACACTCTTATTTTCTCTGCTAAGGTGTGTAAGACCTGGTACCAAGTGTTCCATGTTCCAGCGCTGTGGAGGTCGCGATTTATTGTGTTCGGCAGAAAAAGAACAAAACGACAAATCAAAGAGGATGCTTTATATAAGTCTGAAAATGCATGTCCAAGGTCATACGGTACAGTAACTAGTAACGTAGCTGCTATA